CAGTAGATGCAAACACTGTGATATTGTAGTTGACGTACTCCTGTAGATTTGTCAAATTCTTTTGACGATCATGAGGACCAGCTGAAACACTTCCATTGTCATTCTCTGTTTGTGAGTAGTAAGTAATGGTGTAACCCGTGACGATACCATTCTGTTGATCAGCTGGAACTTCATCCCACATGACTAAGATGCTGGTTGAGCTGCTGTTCTGTCCACGCACATTTTGGGGAGCACCATCAGGTTCTGATGTAAAAGTTCAAGACCAGTTAACTTTGCAAAGATTCTGTTATGTTACGATAATGCTGTATACTTAAATAAAGGTTGTTTAAGCCATTAAATTAATTGGTTGGCAGGGCTATATTAACCGTGTGCTGATGTAAGAAATGTAGTTTTTTATGTTCGTCTTAACATTGGGAGTTGAAGCAATAATAATAATAATAATAATAATAATAATAATAATAATAACAACAACAATAGCGAGAGCGAGAGCGAGAACGAGAATGATGGTGATGGTGACAGAGATAAAACAATTGAAATATAATGAATCTTTAAACAGGATGAACCCTCAGTGCTAAGTACTAGGGGTGGTCTACAAAAGAGCAATTTTCCGCCTCCCTAATTTATTTAGTTTACTCCCTTACTTTTTATTTATCTATACATAGTTTTTCCATCATAACCAATTGCGCAATGATCAAGTCATAAATTCAGCATAAGTTTATTTACCCTTCTTTACAGCTGGAATTGAGAAATTCTACATACTATAGGCCATGTAAACTCTGTAAATTTCAACCACTGCTGAATATCAAACACATAAGCTTACATTTTGTGCAGGCTTGTAAGGATGGCCAGGGAGAGATCGCTTGGAACAATTTAATGCAAAAAAGTACAAAACTACTGTACAAAGAAAGGAGTTTTACCAAATCTACAGTATTTTAAAAAGTGGCAAAAAATATGGAAAAGGCGGTACAAAATGTATTATGACCGTTAGTGACAGAAAAGTATAGACCATATTTATTTTATTTGATCGAAAGTTCAAAGCTACTGTGCCAAGGACAAGGAACTCTACAAAGGCTGCTGTGACAATGGAGAAACCAAGAAAATATAGAGGCGGTAAAAAATCTATTTCGACTGCTAGCAATAGAATATAACAGACTTAAATTACATTTCGAAAATTACAAAATGGCCCTGAAGCAACTTCCATCAATGCAAACTAAAAGTAAAGAACTTCTCTAGACTCCAAGTTTTAAATTTAAGATTACACATTGGTAAAACTGAGAAAAATATCGAAATAGCGGTAAAAGGATTCAAAATGCTTGTAAAGAAGAGAGACTAGTAAATTAGCCGTGTTACCTTCTTTCTTGATTTAAGGCTTCAAGAGAACACAGACATGGTACATACATAACTTAATAGAACTCTTTTTAATTAAGACCATGTGCACGGTACACATACGAAAGCGGACCCCTCAT